TGCAATCACTGCATTTTATTATATTTTCCCCATTTTACAGATGAGGAAAGAAGCCAGAGAGCTTCCACAGTGCTCGCATGTTCATTACATGCCCAGCTGACTTTGTGGAACATCTGCTCCTCTCTGCCTCTCATTCTGCATCCTCCATCAACAACTTTTAATGTCGACCCCAATCCAAGGCATACATCAGACTCCACTGCCACTGACAAATAAAAACTCCACTGGCTGTTTATCAAACCCTCTGCTTGGGAGAGATGAGGGTTTTCTTTTTTTTCCCCCCCCTAACAAAAGTAAAACCGGTCCAAACAAAATGTGTTAGGTTGTTTTTTTCCAGTGGCCTTCAATTGATCTGGGCTCCCTCATGACCTGTCCGTCTTGCCTTGCAGCCTCGTTATGTTTTACTTCATTGCCTTGGCCGGAGCACACAAACAGGTGGTCGACCAGCTCCGAGAGCAGCTGTCCCTGGTAAGGAAGCATAGGCCCAGAGGTCATGGCCAGGACAGCGTATGACAAGTGGTGCTTTTTCCGGAGAGGGAGTGGCATTGCTGTGGCCCCCTCTCCCCACCTCCTCCCCAAACTCTGCCTTCAGGCTTGGCCACCCCCAGCCTCATTCCTTCACTGACTCATCCATCTCTTCAACATATATATTGAGCACCTACTCTGTGCTCTGTATGGTGGCAGGTGCTGGGATGCACTGGTGACGAGAGAGGCAAAACTGTTAGGTAGTTAAAGAAATAAGATAAATCCCGATAACCATAACTGCTATGAGGATAATGAAAACAAGGCAGAGTGACAAGGGGGACCATCTGCTACAGCGGATGGTGCCCACAGAAGGCCTCTTTGAGAAGCCAATTATCAGAGGCCCCAAGTAGGGATGAGAGTAATAAGGTAGGCACTTCTGGAGCCAGGAGGGAGGGAGAGGTGTGGCCGGAGGATGTGAGTGATGGGAAGAAGCGAGAGGCTACTGTAACATCAGCCAGAGTCATAGCATAGCCTGCGTGCTCCGGGAAGTAGTTCGGGTTTTATTCTGAGTGTGATGGGAAGCCACTGGAGGGTGTTAAGTAGAAGTCTAATGTGCATTTTTTTTAAAAAAGAACTAGCTGCTGTGTGGACTAGGAGCTATGGAAGGGACACAAATGAAAGAGGCAGACCGGATCAGAAGCCATTCCAATAGTCCAGTAGTTAGAATCCCTAATCTGAGCCTGGTAGGTAATGACGATATTTGTTTCAAATATATTAAGAGTACTGTCAACCTCATTTCTTTTTTTAGGAAAGTCGTGACAAGCGCTACCTAATCCAGAAACTCACCGAAGCCCAAAGGGACATGAGGAACCAACCAGCATAGACCGAGCAGGACAGTGGCTCTGCCTGCTGCTTCTCAGCTGACCCAGTGACTCCAGCAAGCCTACAAAGTCCACCTGGGTTTTGAGTGGAAATCTTACAATATATTTTTTGGAGTTTAGGCTTTTCCTGATGGTGGCTCCATATGTGTAGCTGTGTTTACCTAACCCAGCCCTTATGCAGGGCTTTGGTGACTTAGAAAATTAGGACAAACCTGAGCCTTTGCCTGTAGACCAGCAGCTCGTCAATGACTCTACCAAAAATAATTAACTTATTAAGCTATTCAACTTTTACAAGAATTGAAGAGAGACTTTTCTATTTTTTAAGAACTTATTTATGTTGTCTTTTAAAGTTAACTTTAGAGCTCATCGTTCATGAGGCTGGGTTATTTCTTATGAACCACGTTGTAGAGGTTTAGGCTGAGGAGTGTTCCTTAAGAAGCAGTGACCCTTTTGAATGGCCCTGTTGACTTAAAATGAAACCTGATTTTTTTTTTTTTTTAATGAGCAAAAATCCTCAAATATTGAAGTTGGGAACAGATGGTGAGACTGAAGAGGAAGGTTATGTCATTTCAGCTATGCTCCTATTACTGTCATAGTAGTAATAGAAGAGAGAAACCCCATCCCTACTATGTGAATAAGTCCCTGAATGCCTTAGATTAAGCCTCAGGAGGAAGGGAATGGCTGCATGATGGCAGTTTTGATTTCTTTGCTTTCTGGGCATTTTGCTGTAGCCTTATTTATTACTCAGGGGAAAACTGTCTTTAGAGGGATAGTTATCCACAAGCCTTCAGTTCCCATCTAGTCCTGAGTTCTCAGACTTGGTGGACGACCCTGTGCCTTCAAAATTAAGAGGCAGGCAAAGTTTGTGCCTAAGTCTTCCAAATGCCATTTCCCTTCCTGGTCTACACTAAGCTCTTCATTTCTGAAGGACACTTACCATCTCAGAGCCAGGCTGGAAAGGGCGCTTTAGTATTTGAGCTGGGAGTTTATGTGTGTGTTTTGGGATGTGGGTTGGAGTTCAGCCTGTTAAAAGACCAGCCTGTGAATGTGTACCAAGCTGAACTAGGGGGAGCTGGTTTCTTAAACACACGTGTCCACATTTTTAAAGGCTGTTGTTTGTTTTCCTGTGCTTTAAAATTTTAAATGCACATGTCTTTATTTTACAAAACATGCAGAAGGGATTTCCGTTATAGTACAAGCCATACGCAATAAATACCTCATCATGAGCTTACCCAAAATAGATAGCTCTGAACTTTTTAATAGAAGCCTAAATTATTTTTTAATGTAATCACTTTTCATTTTAATATCTGCAAAGTCTTTTTCAAAGTACTGTAGTTTTGTAATGGACTGTTTGAGCCTTTCTTCCATCATTTTTCTTTCATCCTTCCCAGGAAGTAGCCTGGAATTTAAAGTTGGGTACAAGTTTTAGAAAACTGCCGCTATTAAGAATAATTCCCACCCCTACTTCCATTGCTCCATTTCTCAAAGATGATTGACTCCTTGCTCCGAAGAGTAAAGATATATCATTGTCCCTTTTCCACAACCGTTTTCTTGTTCTACAAAAATAGTATTAACAATGGGATAATTACCTATGAGACCAACGAGCCTTTCATTCTTTCCCAGTCTTAAGGCTTATGAGTTTCTAAATCTGATAATTGGTATCATGAAATATCTGAGGAACTCAAAGTTCATTCCAACCTCACTTAAAAAACAAATTCTAATTATATATATTTCAACCTAGTGCCTTTATAATGTAAGCTTTTGTTTTCACCATGCTTCTGAAGACATTTGAGTTTTCTATTTGTGTTTGTGAAATGCACACAATGAGAATATATTGCTGTTTTCTTTCCCTATTATAAAAGTGATACTGAAATATACTAATATATTCATTTTAGTTAGATGCTGCTAATTTGCATACCTCTTACTTGAATGTTTTTATATGTTTTGATAACTTTAATAACTTCAGGTTATGTCTGTATAATTTTTAAAGTGCAGCTAACAAATGTGCATTAAAACTACTGATTAAACAATGTCCTGAAGGTTTTAAAATGTGACTGTGGTTATTTGAATTCATGCTTCTTGTTAGGAATCAAGTGATGACGGAAAACTATAACAGTTTGTAAAGTTGTTCTTTGCCTTTTCCTAGAATCAGAGAGAAGAAAAGTGTTTAATGCAATTATCTGATGAGTACTTTTAAGACTCCTTGGCTCTGCTGAAGCCAAGGAGGGTTTTATGTGTGTCCACACCCTAGAGAAAACCACTCATGATGCTTATTTTATTCTTCCAGAGAAGTGTGATACATATTCAAGCATATATATATATATATATATATATATATGGGTGTATGTGTAAAATAACATATTTCTGAGATTCCCCTTTTTCCCTTCTTAATAACATCTTGAAGACATTTTCATATAAGCAGCTACCTCATTCTTTTTAATGTCTACATAGCATTCTGTAATATCAATGTATACTTTATAACCATTACAGGGTTAACAGATACTTAAGTTGTTTTCACTTCCTCCTCCTTTACAAACACTGGAAACTGGCATTTTGAAAAAACCTGCAAACCCTTCTCTGTCTTGCCCCATTCTGCTTCAGGCCCTTGTTTGTAAGGCAGCCTTGCGGGTTCACACAATCACAGAATATTCTTCTTCCCAGCAAAGAGAAGAATCCAGTTAGGCAAGTCTTTAGTCTGCATTAACTCTTAAGCTGGCAAAGTAAATTCTTGCAGCTACAAATCTGATAGCAGCTACCCACTTACCTAAATATCAGAGAAGAAAGGAATTAATTTTGCCAGGGTGGCATAACAAGGTCTGACTCTTGGGAAGAGAGAACTTCAGAATGTATCTGCTTTATATAGGGTGTGGCTTTACTAATAAATTCCATTTGGTGTATTTCCTTTCAAATATATGGGATGTGCTTGGGACATGGAAAATTACTTCCCCTCTCTTTCTCTCTCTCTTCTCTAAGAAGATAAAATAAATTTTACTTTTATATCTTAATTTCTGTGTGAAAAATCTTTCTCCGCCCGCGCAGAGAACATCTACTAGGTTTTCCACCCTAACAGAAAATATGATGGCTCTGTCAATAAGTAATTCCCTCATGGTCCTCCTTCCCAGGAACTAGGGTAAGAAATCACTACACCGTCCGAATCTTTGAGAGTAATTTAGTATTCTCATTTTCTTGGCAACCTCAGGCACCATTACCGCCGTCGGTTTCCCCAATTATTGACAGTAACCCCATCCAATAGACTCTTTCCATTTGCCGTTGCCAACCAATCGAACGGAAGCAGGGGCCCAGGGGGCGTTTCCACCGGTGCCGGGGCGAGAAGCGACTTTCTTACGCCTGCTGTGCGTCATCAGTCTGCACCAAGGGCACGATTGGCCCGCTTCACTCAACCGAGTGGCTACTTTGTTGGCCCGGCAATGATTTGTGCCGGGGCGGCGGCGGCTCCCTCCCTGTGGCGGCTGCGCTCGGGCGTCCGGCAGCCCCTCTCAGGTACAGGGGGACGCGGTCGCGGTCATGCGCTAGGCAGACAAGCCAAGGGATTTTGTTCTGAAGCTTCGGTCGAGCAAGTTGCGTCACTGGTCTGCGACAGAGCGCGACTGTGTGCCACAGTCGCGGGGGCGCTGGCGGGCGGGGCGGGGCCTGTAGCACACCGCGAGAGTGACCGCGGAATGGGGAGGTTTTCCTCAGTGACCCTTCGGGCCTCCCTCAGGGTCGGCGTGCAGGGGAGCGATGTAATTGCCCACCTGTGCAGTGACGTCATTGCAGGTGTGGGCGGTGTTACGGGGTGAGGACAGTTGGCGACAGTGAAAGTTCAGTGTCCCCGGAGTGTCTCCGTAGTCTTTGCCCAGGGCCTTGCCATTCAAAGTGTAGTCCGACAACCAGCGTCGTCAGCCTCCTCTGGGAACTTGTTAGAAGTGCGTCTTCTTGGGCCTCACCCCTGACCTATTTAGTCGGTGTCCACATTTTAAGACTTTCAGATTATTTGCATGCACGGTAAACCTTGAGAACATCAGTGTAGTGGAAGGAGCATCGAATTTGTTGCAGAGAGACATGATTTTGGATTCTGGCTCCTTCTGCTTTTCTTCTGAGCTGCCTCAGAAAATTGTTGTGTGCTCTCTTTGCCCTTTCTTTGGCGCTCCCTTTGGTGTGACAGTGGGTCCTGTCATCATCTGTGGCGTAAAAGTATATTTTGCTCTTGCCCTGTAATCCTGTCTTCCTCTCCTCAATAAACCTCGTTTTCGTGCTTGCCTAAAAAAAACAAAAAAGATTCATCTTCTACAGCTATCTTAAAAAAAAAAAAAAAAAAAAAGAAAATTGTTGTGAAGTTGTCCTCTCAAAGTTTAATCATTCTTGTGCCACCTTCAAAATTTTTGCCTTATGGTAATACCGCTTTAACTTTTTTTTTTTTTTTTTTTTTTTTTTTGAGACAGAGTCTCACTTTGTTGTCCAGGCTAGAGTGAGTGCCGTGGCGTCAGCCTAGCTCACAGCAACCTCAAACTCCTGGGCTTGAGGGATCCTTCTGCCTCAGCCTCCCGAGTAGCTGGGACTACAGGCATGCGCCACCATGCCCGGCTAATTTTTTATATATATATCAGTTGGCCAATTAATTTCTTTCTATTTATAGTAGAGACGGGGTCTCGCTCTTGCTCAGGCTGGTTTTGAACTCCTGACCTTGAGCAATCCGCCCGCCTCGGCCTCCCAAGAGCTAGGATTACAGGCGTGAGCCACAGCGCCCGGCCCGCTTTAACTTTTGATTACTAAATATGTTTCTTGTATAAATATGTCCCATTTTAAAATTAAATAACTTCTCAGAAACTAAATCCTTATGGTAAGTGGAAAATTAGTATTGCCTGCCCCAAATGGATGCATAATCATAAAAATGACATTGAAGGCCGGGCGCGGTGGCTCACGCCTGTAATCCTAGCACTCTGGGAGGCCGAGGCGGGCGGATTGCTCGAGGTTGGGAGTTCGAAACCATCCTGAGCGAGACCCCGTCTCTACTAAAAATAGAAAGAAATTAATTGACCAACTAAAAATATATATACAAAAAATTAGCCGGGCATGGTGGCACATGCCTGTAGTCCCAGCTACTTGGGAGGCTGAATTTTATGGGCATATCCATCCCATGGGAAAAGTGAGACTCTGTCTCAAAAAAAAAAAAAAAAAAAAAATGACATTGAAAACAAAAAAATTGTAAAATTGCTTTGGACACGATAGCAAGGCTTGAACCCAAGACCATCTTTCTGTTAGAAAGGAAAATTAGCAAGTTTTAGGAAGGTGTTCAGGATATACCAGCTGTAAATGAAAGTATCTTCCTTGAAGATATTTAAAGGATTGGAAGAGAATTTTAAAGAGTAACTCTTAACACATGAGTATTATTTAATGCATATCTATAAGCCACTTATAATCTCATAGGTACCACCATTGGTATGTTTCACATTTTGGGAAAACAAGGATATAAAGTGATAACATTTGAGAGCTTTAGCACTGTGCCTCAATTTTATTTTAAAGTGTGTAAAAATGCAGGCCAAACTCAGAGGTTTTTTTTTTTCCTTTTATTTCATCATATTATGGGGGTACAAATATTGTTAGGGTTACATACATTGCCCCCGCCACCCCTCCCCCCCCCACTTGCCAGAGCTTCCAGCGTGTCCAATCCCCAGTTGGTGCACACTGCACACATTATGTAAGTAATGGTGCGTACCCTTCTCCTCCTCCCCTCTCCCGCCTGCCCACCACCCGATAAAAGTTTCAGAGGGTTGTTGAATGTGAATTTTAATGCTCCTCTGTTGAGCCAATGAGCATAACAATCAGAATCATTCATTTTTACTTATTAAGTTACTTTGCTTCCTATATCTCATTTTATCCTCATAACTCAGAAAAGTTTTATTATTGTATGTTTTCCCTCAAAAAGGAAATAGCCTGATTATTGCCAATTTTATATGTAAGAAATGTTGTTTCTGATTTGTCCAAAGCTAGTGTAGAGATGGGACATGCATTTTCTGACTTCCCATGTCCATGTTCCTTTGCTTAAAGTGCGGCATTTAAAACCACACCTAACAGAAAAGTTCAAGTGCAGAACCACCCCAGAGTTCACCAGCCTACCCCATTACCTTGTGACCAAAGCACTCAAGCCTTTTTAATGAAAGAACCACAGATGTATACAAAATGAATTTTTTTCACACATTTTCTGGCTGTTAGCTTAAGTGGAAAGAAGTAACCATAAAAGACATGGTAGTCACAGCATATGAGCCCTGAAACACATTTCAAAGTGATACCAATGCAGGCCGAAGCTAACATCACAAACTAAATGACCTCTGAGTCTCCACTTCCATATCTGCAAAATGAGGTGAATTACACACCCAAGCATACCACAAAACCTTCCTCTTACAGAGGGAAAAAACCTTCTGAGATACCCTAATAAAAGGATCAGAGAATATAATTAAGGAGTTTACAATTAGAAGATTTTGTTTAAAGGGGAAATCTAATCTGTCCCGAAGAATTCACATTTTGAATATGAGAAAAATTTAGTTGAGTTGTTATTGGATCATAATGAGATGAAACCTAAGCTCTGAGGCTGGAGTCTCAAAATCAGATGCCCATGAGTGTGGGTGTTTTAAGGGAACTTACTGTGGTTCTCAACCTTGGCTACAGAGAAGATTTGTGCACAGAGCTTTTTAAAAATATCAGCGTGCCCCACCCCCTGCAAAAGATTGATTGGGGAGAAGCATTGTGTTTTTGAAAGCTCTCTGCTGTACAGCCTGGGCTGTGGAGAAACAGGCTGGGGGGGGTGGGGGGGTGAACTGTAGATACATGCCCATCTAGAAGCAGCTGCTACGTTGTTAACTCTTGTTGAGAAAACAGGCTCAGCATTTCCAGATCTACACTTAAAAGGAAACCAGAGATTCACATCTTTAGGTAAAATCCTCTGTTTTAATACTGCATGTTAACTAGAATATATTTTATGGGCATATCCATCCCATGGGGAACTTATTTGTGCCCCTTTCTTCCGTCTGTAAAAGGAAATATCTCGATTTCACCTGAGAGTAATAAAGAATAAACACTTGCATTTCAGCTTATGGAAGACGAATCAGTGTCAGATTTTGCAGTTCAGGAATGACCTTAGATAGTATCAATCGGGCAGCTGTGGATCGAATAATCCGGGTGGATCACGCAGGCGAATATGGAGCCAACCGCATCTATGCTGGGCAGATGGCTGTGCTGGGTCGTTCAAGCGTCGGGCCCATCATTCAGGTGGGTGCTCCTTTGTCTCTCTCAGCCTAGCCTCCAGAAAGGGTGGATCTAACCGCCGTAAAGGAATGAATCACATAAGGTCACGCATTACCAAGGGAGATGCATGCTGTTGTCTCCAAGAGAGTGAAAACTTGGTTCTTGGGGGGAGGGGGAGTGAAAAACATTATTCTTTTTCTGTATAAAGTGCAGATAGACATATAGTACATAAACAGATACATAGCATATCTGTGGTATTAAAACTTCACGGCAGGGGCAGGCAATACTGAAAGAAAAGTTGAGAATTACTTCATTGGGTGAAAGCACCACGTGCTGAGGAGTTTAGTCCTGCTCCACAGGACACCAGGGGAGATGCTGTACCCTGAGGCAGTGGAAGGGCCTGGACTTTGTAGTCACTCAGACCTGGATTCACATTTCTGCTTTCTGCCGCCTGCTGTCCGTGTGACCTTGAGGATGTCAGGTGACCTCTCTGGGTCTCTGCTTTCATATCTGCAGAATCCTCTGATAATGGCCTGGGTTTGGGTGAGTAATAAATGGGCTGGTGCAGAGCAACTAACACCAGGCCTTGCATCCAATAGGCAAGTTAGTACAAGTTAAATTGCCTGCTCTGAGTCCTTGGGCAAGTTACTTAACCTCTCTGTGCTTCACTTTCTTCATCTGCGTACTGGAGATAATAATAGTTTGTCCTTCACAGGGCAGTTGTGTGGATCGAATGAGTTGCCTGTGTAAAGCCATGTGACAGCACCTGGCACTTAGGAAGTGCCATCTAAGTGTTAGCTGCTGTTACCATTCTCCTTTTTTCCTTTGATGTAAATACTAATACTCTAGCAGTATGAAAGGAAGTGCCATCTAAGTGTCAGCTGTTGTCACCATTTTCACATAGCTATATTTTGCCCTCCTGGCTTTGAAATGGGTTAAATGTCTCATTTCTCGTGTGTATGGACCCTTTTCATTTAATAGACATATTGTGGGTCTGAGGGACTTCTGCTGGAACCATTCTTATCTGGAGCTGAGATAACAGGCTTTTCCTTTGGTTTGCTGGCACTCTCTTCTCTGTTTCAAAGATGCCTTTTAGTCTGATAGTTTACTTTTTGTATTAATGTTTTGAGGGGAACGGAGGAGGTAGCAGTTCCCATCCTTTTCTCCATTTCTCTTTTGCTTCCTGTATACCACATGGATGGGCCATGTAGCTTCCTCGTTGCATAGCAGGAGGTCTCTATGGAATGCTTTCATGTCTTCATTTTTATGTGTTTTTGCAGAAAATGTGGGATCAAGAAAAGGACCATTTGAAAAAGTTCAACGAGTTGATGGTTACGTTCCGGGTTCGGCCGACAGTTCTGATGCCCCTTTGGAATGTGGCGGGGTTTGCCCTGGGTAAGTGAACAGAAGAGCTTATGTGAGTTTAAGGATCTGGGATGATTAAATCATTGAGGCACCACTTTCACAATACTTGCTGTGTCCTTACGTGCTCTTTTTTTAATTTACGTAATATTTTTCTAAAGGTAAGTTAACTACCTTGATTTTGTTTCAACTTCTTTAAGGTAGAATCTTAAAGTCAGTACTTTTATAAATAGAAAGTACAGTAAAAAATATACTCAATAGAGGGGGAAAGCTAGCCTAATTCAATTACAGCCAGATACTGTTCCCTGACAAAGATTCTAAATCTGAGATCTGTTCACTCTTCAAAAGGGAGGAGAGTAAGTGGTGTAGCAGATCAAAGATGTGCTCACTGCAAATGCAGACTTTATCTTGGCCCTAATCAGAAGGTTAAAAGAGCACTGGAAAGAGAATAGCTTTCTTACTATGTGATTCAAGGTCTAACACTGGGATCTGGTACCATCTAAAACAGTGATTCTCCACCTGGGCAAGTTTGCCCCCACCAGAGGACAGGTGGCAACATCTAAAGACAGTTTTGTTTGTCACATCTTAGTTGGTGCTACTGGCATCTAGCTGGTAGAGATCAGGGCTGCTGTTAAATATCCTATCATACAATGCACAAGACAGCCCCCACCACAGAGAATGACCCAACCCCAATGTCAGTGGTGCCAAGGTCGAGAAACCCTAACCAGAAATGATCTCCGTTGCCAGTGGTATCCATCCCTTACCTTCCTGCTCTGGGTTTAACAACTCCAGGGGCAGGGACTGCCTTGCTGGGGAAGGAAGGCGCGATGGCCTGCACGGTGGCGGTGGAAGAGAGCATAGCTCATCACTACAACAACCAGATCAGGATGCTGATGGAGGAGGACCCTGAAAAATACGAGGAACTTCTTCAGGTATTTGCCTATCCTCTAGAAAAGGGCTGCTCAAGGGAAAACGAGCAGATATGCACATGGGTAAAAAGAAAAAATATAAGAGAATATTTAGGGTATGATGGAAGGGTAGATATCCAGGTCAGTAGCACATTTTAAAGTTGAGCAAACTGAGGCACAGAAAATGAAGCTGTCTGCTCTGGTCACACAGTTTAAGCAGAGCTGGCATTCCTGAGCCCTAGAGTCTCGCTTTGTCGCCTAGGCTAGAGGGAGTGCCATGGCATCAGCCTAGCTCACAGCAACTTCAAACTCCTGGGCTCAAGCAATCCTGCTGCCTCAGCCTCCCAAGTAGCTGGGACTACAGGCATGCACCACCATGCCCCACTAATTTTTTCTATATACGTTGGCCAATTAATTTCTTTCTATTTATAGTAGAGACGGGGGTCTCGCTCTTGCTCAGGGTGGTTTCGAACTCCTGACCTTGAGCGATCCGCCCGCCTCGGCCTCCCAGAGTGCTAGGATTACAGGCGTGAGCCACCAGTGCCCAGCCTCTCTCCAGTTCTTTATCCTCCGTAGACTCTGAGCAAATACTGTGAGCATGAGCCCTTTAGATTAAATAAAAGAATGATGAATTAATAGATATCCTCAGATAATTTTTCACAGTAAACAAGGGAACTGCTTAATTTTTTAAAGTCTAAATCAGAGGTTGGAAAACGATGGCCCATGGCCAACCACCTATTTCTGTAAATAACAATTTACAGTTTTATTGGAACACAGCCATTCCCATTTGTTTGCTGGCTTCAGCTGCCTCCAGGGCCACAATAGCAGAGTTGAGTAATTGAGCCAGAGACTGCACAGCCTCCAAAGCTTAAAGTGTTTACTCTCTGGCCCTTTACAGGAAAAGTTGGCCTATCCCTGTCTTAGACTATACTATGAGGCTTTAGCCTCCAAAATAAGATGGAACAGCAGGAGAGTTGGAATGCTGACTTGCTTTGGTTTCTTTTTATTTAACCAGGTGATAAAGAAATTTCGAGATGAAGAGCTTGAGCATCATGATATAGGCCTTGACCATGACGCAGAATCGGTAGGAACCTACTGTGACTTGTAGTGCTTTGGGGCACCTTATCTGGAAAGTTGAGGGGGCAGGAGATTTATTTGACAAAAAGCAAGCAAAGGCATTGCTCCGGATTGGGAATCTTGTTTCTTGCTTCATTCCTTATCCTTTTCCCTTTCCTGTGAGAAGCCAGATGATTCCAGTGTTTTGGCAGTAGCAGAGGCATTCTGATCTTTTTGAATGGCATTTTTCCAAATTAAATTGCTTCTCAGATTTCATTTCTTCTCCAGAGAAGTCCAAACCCTGCCCTGCCAGCCCTGAAACTTACAACTGGAAATGAATATATAACGTGTTTCTTTTATTTGCTTGTTGTTTTTAACAGGCTCCTGCATACGTCATCTTGAAGAGTATTATCCAAGCTGGATGCAGAGCAGCGATATATTTATCAGAAAGATTTTGAAGTATGTCCACTTATCCCTGTCTATAAAAGATGATAGTAATTTAGCAAGTCACATTTGCAGAGAAGGAAATGCATAATTAAAATCAATATTATTATATGAATTTTGTTAATAAACTATAAGGGTTTTTGTTTTTCCATTAAGAACTCTCCAGTATTGATTTTTTCTGTGTTGTCATACGCCATAAGGCTGACAATTCACCAGGTTTGTTCAAATGAAGCTGGTCCTTGTTTGGTCTCATAGTTAATTTTCTCCTAAAACATCAAGAATGAATCATTAGTAAAGTAACAGGCATCTCTAAGAGAAAAAAAATTGAGTTTACTGGTAACAAATGGTAATTTAAAGCATGAGGGTATTTAAGACGGGCTAAGAAAGAAGATGAAGTCTGTCAGGTAAGTCAATGGCTGTCAGTGTTTCCATTTTGAATTGTGGGTGGGCGAGTGCTATGGTCTGAATATTTGCATCCCCCCAAGATCGTGTGTTGAGATCCTCTCCCTCAGTTGGGTTCAGAGTGATTGGGAAGTGATTAGGTCCTAGGGGTAGAGTCCTCATGACTGAGATCAGTGTACTTATTTCTAAAAGAGGTCCCAGTGACGCCTCAAGGTGCTGTCAGCAAATCAGCTGCCACCTTCATCTTGGACTTCTCAGCCTCCAGAACCGTGAGCAGCAAAAGTTGATAAGCCACCAGGCTATGGTATTTTGTTACAGCTGCCCAAACAGAATAAGACAGGTATGTGTTGCTTCCATCAAAAAATGTACTAAGTTGTGGATTATTTGTGAAGGTAAATTATAATCATTTCCTTAAGGTCTGTTACCAAATAAAAAGAATGAACCAAAACTGATTAAAATTTTTATACTGCAGATGTCTGTAGTATAGTTTAGTGTAGTTGGCCAACAACTGAAAATCCAAGCTCTGGTTATTGCCTGGGTCCACATTATTTTATAAGTGTGCATTTTCTGTCTTTCTCTCCTATATATAAGACTGTGAGTTTATTGAGGGTAGAACATTTGTTTCTAGTTCCTAGTACATAGTAGGTGCCCATTTAAAGGGAGACAATTTAGAGGGAAAGAAGGAGGGAAGGAGAAAGAAGGGGAGGGAGGGAAGATGTTCTGAAGCAGCTGCAAAATTGGAAAACAGCCTCCTTGGCTCTTCTTCCTCCCCTTGGATTTCTTCATACCAGAGGGTCGTGGGCCCTGTTCTCAGTCTACCATCTTTTCCTTGGCTGTCTTTGTTGTGGTTGATTCCTTCACATTCGTATCTCCAGTCCAGACTTCCCATTGTCAAATATCTACCTGCCTTCCTGTCCAAGTGGCGGTACTTGGATATCAAGGAGAATTTCCAACTCCACGTGCCCCAAGCTGAACTCCTTGCCTCCCGCCCCACTCCCCAGACCTGCTTCCCCAGTGGCCACCCTCTCACAGTTAATGGTGGCTCCCTCCTCCTCCCAGTGCTCAGGTCAGAATCACTGCAGTCCCCTTTGCCTCCTGCCTCCAGCACACCTCCATCCAGTGACCACAGCTTCCTGTGGACTCTGCCAACTCCCTCTCACAACCTCCACTGCTGCCACGCAGGGCCCAGCCTCCCTCTTCTCTCGTATGGATTATCTCAGAAACTTCCTAACTATTCTTCCTGCTTTGCCCCTGTTCTCCCACAGTCCATTCTCAACCCAGCAGCCAGAGTGATCCTTTGATCATAAGCCAGATCATGCCACTGCTCAGCTCAGAACTCCCCAGTGGCTATTTCTGGCTCTCTCATACTGAAAGTCAAAGTCACAAAAATGGTTTATGAGACCATAAAGGATCTGGCCCTCGGCAACCTCTAATTCCTGTCCTCACTCTGCTCCAGCCACACTGGCCTCCTTGCTACTCCTCAAAAATGCCAGGAACACTCCTGCCTGTGGGCTTTGCAGTGGCCGCTCCCTCTGCCTGGAATGCCCTTTCCCAGATGTGCACGTGGTCAAATCCCTTGCCAACTCCTGAGGTTTTGCTCAAATGTCACCTTTTAAAGGAGGCCCATCCCGACCACCTTTTTCAAATTGCAAACCCCACCCTACCCCACACTTCATTTCCTTTTCTGTGCTCTAATTTTTTCCCCATGGCACTTACCACCTTCTATTACGTTATTTAATGTACTTATTTATTAGATTTCTTGTCTGTTTCTCCCTGCTAGAATGGAACATAAGCTCTGTGGGGGCAGGAATCTTTGTTTTAATCACTGACACATAATAGGTGATCAATAAATAGTTGTTGATGGGATTGTATGAAGAAATAATTCTCCCTTATTAGAAATGATTTTCAAATAACTAGTAATTTGAGACTAGTCCTGTGTGCATCTCAGCAAGATTAAGTGGAGATTTATTGAAAAGATGCCATTAGGGAACCAAAGGAAGGCCATGCTCTGTGCTTCTTGCTGGTAATTAAAAAAATACAGGATATCTACATGCAGAAGAATGAGTTTGGACCTCTATCTCATAGCATATACAAAAATTAACTCAGATAGACTAAAAATCTAAATGTTAGTCCTAAAACTTTAAAGCTGTAAGAAGAAAACCCAAGGATAAATCCGTGCAACTTTAGATTAGGCAGCAGTTTCTTAGATACTCAAGTAACAAAAGAAAAAGCTCAAGTAACAAAAGAAGAAGATAAATTGGACTTCATTAAAATAAAAACTTGTGCTTCAAAAGACAATATCAAGAAAATGAAAAGACAATTCACAGAATGGGAGAAAATATTTACAAATCATATATCTGGTAAGGGACTTTTATCTAGAATATATAAACAACTTTTACAACTCAACCATAAAAGACAAATAGCCCAATTAAAAAATAGGCAAGGGATTTGAATAGACATTCTTCAACAAAGATATACAGATGGCCAATAAGCATATGAAAAGATGCTCAACATCTTTAGCCATTAGGGAAACCACAATGAGATACCACTTCACACCCACTAGAATGACTGTAATAAAAATAAGTGTTGATGTGGATGTGAAGAATTTGGAATCTTCATACACTGCTGGTGAGAATGTAAAATGGTACAGCCACTTTGGAAAACAGTCTAGCAATTCCTCAGTTAAACTTAGTTACTATAGGATACAGTAACTCCTCTCTTAGGTACAAACATTTCAGTAGAAATCAAAACATGTTCAAACAAATACTTGTACATGAATGTTTATAGAAACATTATTCATAATAACCCAAAGTGGAAGTAACCCATGTATCCATCAACTGATGAACCTGTTGCCGCCCAACCAGGTTCATTTGCCTACTGCTCAAGAGGAAGCCAGTACACTGAGACAGCAGGGTTTACAGCAGAGAAAGAATTTATTCTGCATTGCGCTAAGCAGGGAGAAATTTCTCAAATCCACCTCCTCGAGAATTTGGGAGACAGGGTTTTTAAAGAGAGTTTGGCATAGGCAATTGGGTCTGCTAATTGGCTGGATTTGGGGTGGAACCATATGGTTGTAGAAATTGTCTTCTTTGCTGACCCGGTTCGTGGGTGGGGGTCACCAGACCAGTTGAGTCAGTTCCAGACCAGCATGGCACACTGGCCTGAGTGGGTCAGCCATTACGCTAGAATGCAAAACCTGGAAGATATCTCAGAAACTAATCCTAGGTTTCAAAAAGGTGATATTATCTATGGAGAAAACTACGAATCTTTATGACCACCAGCTATGTGGCTCCAGAGTGGCAATTACAGAGAAGTATCATTATTTTTAGCTAGGCCTGTGCCTTATTTTTGGCTAGGCCCTTACCATAGCTGTCACCTTACACCCCTTTTTATTTGTAAGTGCAGTTTCAAACTGGTGAGCAAAATGTGGCATATCCATACAATGCAGTAGTATTCAGCCATAAAAAGGAATGGAATATTGGCACGTGCTATAACATGGATGGGCCTTTAAAAGCTTATGCTTGGGGCCGGGCGCGGTGGCTCACGCCTGTAATCCCAGCACTCTGGGAGGCCGAGGCGGGTGGATTGCTTGAGGTTAGGAGTTCGAAACCAGCCTGAGCAAGAGCGAGACCCCGTCTCTACTATAAATAGAAAGAAATTAATTGGCCAACTAATAATATTATAGAAAAATTAGCTGGGCATGGGGACATGCCTGTAGCCCAGCTACATGGGAGGCTGAGGCAGCAGGATTGCTTGAGCCCAGGAGTTTGAGGTCGCTGTGAGCTAGACTGACGCCATGGCGCTCACTCTAGCCTGGGCAACAAAGCGTCACACTGTCTCAAAAAAAAAAAAAAAAAAAAGCTTATGCTTGGGTATAGAGTTTCAGTATGAGAAGATAAAAATAATTCTGGAGATGGATGGTGGCGATGATCATACAACAATGTGAATGTAATAATACTTAATGCCATGTAACAGTGGTTAAAATGGCAAACGTTTTGTGTATTTTACCACAATTAAAAAAAAAAAATCATGCTAAGTGAAAGAAGCCTGACACAAAAAGTTGCATATTATATGATTCCACTTACATGAAATATCCAGAATAGGCAAATCCATAGAGATCGAAGGTAGATTAATGGTCACCTGGGGCCAAGGGGGATGGTGAGTAACTGCTGATAGATATGGGGTTTCTTTTTGAGGTGATGAAATTGTTCTAGAATTAGCAGTGATAGTTGCACAACCTTGTGAATATAATTAAACCTACTGGATCATATACTTTAAAATTTTGAATTTTACAGTATGTGAACCATCTTAGTCTGTTTTGTGTTGGTATAGAAAAATACCTGAGACTCGGTAATTTATAAAGATAAGAGACTTGTTCGGCTCACGATTCTGGTGGCTGGCAAGTCCAGGATTGGGCAGTTGCACCTGGTGAGGGCCTCAGGCTGCCTACACTCATGGCAGAACATGGAGGGGCGGTGGGCATGTCACAGAGATCACACAGTGAGACAGGATACAAAAGAGCAAAACCGAGGAAGTCAGATTCTGACTCTTTTTAACAACCTACTTTCTCAAGAATTAATCCATTCCCAAGAGAAAGAGAAGGAACTCACCCCAGCGGGAGGGCATTAATCTATTCATGAGGGATCCATCTCCATGACCCAAATACCTGTGTTGTTATAGCAACACAGAACAGACACACACCATAAAATTCTACCTCCCAACATTGCCACATTGGGGATAAAGTTTCAATAGGAGTTTTGGTGGAGACACCACATCTAAACCATAGCATGGGACATACCAATAAGAACAATACAGTTTAGATAGCTTTATACAAATTCCAATCCTGGCTGTTAAATGAGAAAATGATTTTTTTTTTTTAACTTATCACCCTTCAAGCCAGCTGAGCATGTAGCCCTTGACTTTGAGAAGCTCACTATTAGGTTGGAGAGACAGCAGGAAAGCAGGCAATAACCAGACAATGATAAAATGCAATACCCATGCAAGAAGTCAAAGGATGGGTGCACAGGAGAGAGTCTGGTTATATATTGCAGTTTTATGCAAATTCCAACCCCAGCTGTTAAATGAGAAAATGATTTCTTTCAAGTTTTTATCAAAGCCTTGATCTTCTGAGGCTCTGGTGCTATTTCTTGCCCTTTCGTATCAAAGCCAATTTTATAAGTATTACAGCCAGGAGTCTTAGTCCTAGGAAGGCACTTTGTACAGTCCTTATTAAAAGCCCAGGCTGTTTGTTCAGCATCCTCCTCAGAATTGATGGCTGATGTTTTATGCTTCTGAGAGCTTCCAGAACAAGGCCAGAGAGATTTTCTGAATCCCCCTTTGATTGTTTTTAATTCCATTACAGCTTGTCCTCATGTATTAACAAGGTAATCTTGTCTTTCCCTTACTTTACTGATCTGACCTTTCAGGGGAAATGTGATTTTAAAATTGGACACCATCCAAAGACGATGCCAGGACGACAAAGAATGTGATTCTTGCAAGCAGCGTAGTTCCACAGAGACCATCTGAGCCGCAGTTCTGCGCACGCCTTTCGTTCCCTCACCAGGCGGCCTGTGGTCTGGGGGCCCACAGCAGCGGCATCACACATGGGAGCCTGTTAGAAACGCAGGATTTCGGGGTCCTCTCCAGGCCCACTCCATCAGAATTTGCGTTTTAGCAAGATGTGGTTTTAACGTATGTTTACGAATCCCTGATACTCCTCTGTTCAATGGAGCTTAATTCCCTTTGCCTTGACTGTGGTCTGTACCCAGTGACTTGTTTCTAACACGGAATGTGGTGGAAACCGTGGAGCATGACGTTCAAGGATAGGTCAGAAAAGACGTTGCAGTTTCTGCCTTCCCCGACAGGATTACTCACTTTGGGGGAGACCAGCTGTGGCGTCACCAGGACACTCAAGCAGTTACTCAGTGGAGAGGTTCACGTGGCCCAGTACCGAGGCCTCCTGCCAACAGCCACGTGAGAACTCCATCTTGGAAGTGAATCCTTGGAAGTGGCCCCAGTGGAGACTTCAGATGACTGCAGCCCCCAACATCTTGATGGCCACCTCAGGAGAGACCCCAAGTCAGAGTCACCCAACTAAGTCATTCTTGAATCCCCGAACCTCAGCAACTGTGTTAGGTAATAGTTTGTTGCTTTCAGCTGCTGGTTTTTGGAGCAATCTGTAATGCAGCAATAGATAACAAATACACAACACCGCCAGGTGATTTGGAAGCACATTAAAATTTGAGCAGCACTGAACCAGACCATGAACTCCTGGAAGGCAGAGACCAGCTTGGTCATTTCCATGTCTTCACAGCTAAGCACAATGCCTGACACTCAGTAAATCTTTGTTGGACAAAATACAAGGTTAAACTGCCCTGTTCTCAAAAAGTTAAAACTTTTTGTAATAACTAATACCTGTATGCATGTGGCAAAATAGTCCAGCAGTGCTAAAGGATATTTACAGTGATAAGTAGACTGCTTGTTTTTTTTTTTTCCTTTGGACAGAATCTTGCTCTTGTTGCCCCGGCTAGAGTGCCATGGCGTCCGCCTAGCTCACAGCAACTCAAACTCCTGGGCTCAAGCTCCTCCTGCCTCAGCCTCCCGAGTAGCTGGGACTACAGGCATGTGCCACCATGCCCGGCTAATTTTTTCTTTATATTTTCAGTTGGCTAATTAGTTTCTATTTTTAGTAGAGACGAGGTCTCAATTTGCTCAGGCTGGTCTCGAACTCCTGAGCTCAAGCGTTCCGCCCGCCTTGGCCTCCCAGAGAGCTAGGATTACAGGCGTCAGCCACCGCACCCCGCCCGGTCACCTTTAGCCGGGGCCCTGGCTCCTCCCGCCCTGCGGGTTAACCGCAGCCCGGCGGGGCCGAGATGGACGCCGCAGCGGGCGCAGCGAGAGCTCGCTCGCGTCCCGCAGAGGGCGCCCGCGCCCCGCCCGCCGGGCGTCCGCCGGCTGCACGGACTCGGGCGCCCGCGGGGCGGTACTGCAACCTGTGCCCACCCGCCGGGCGTCTCGCCAGGCTGCACGGCTCGGGGCCCGCGCGGGCGGGTACTGCGGCCACCGTCCCGCGTCGCCGGGCGCCCGCCAGACTGCACGACTTGGGCGCCTGCGGCGGGCGGTACAGCAGCCCACGTCCCGCCCGGTCGCCGGGCGTCCGCCAGACTGCACGGACTCGGGGCGCCGCGGCGGGCGTACTGCAGCCACTGTCGCCCACCGCCGGGCGTCCCCGCCAGGCTGCACGGACTCGGGGCGCCCGCGCGGGCGGTACTGCAAGCCCACTGTCCCCGCCCGGTGCCGGGCGTCCGCCAGACTGCACGGACTGGGGCGCCCCGGCGGGGCGGTACTGCAGCCACAGTCCCGCCCCACCGCCGGCGTCCAGGCCTGCACGGACTCGGGGCGCCCGCGGCGGGGCGGTACTGCGGCCCCACCGTCGCCGGTCGCCGCCGCCGAGCCGCGGGGCGACGTCGCGCGCGTGTGCACGGCGGGTGCGGGGGTTCCGGTCTGCGCGCCCCTCCGACCTGAGTGTCCTCATCCAGGTGGATACGTTCTCTTTTTCAGAGAAGGGGGAGAGAGAGAAGGAAACGAGGGGCGGGATGTGGCGACGAGTCTCTGTCTAGGGGCACTACCTGGAGAAACCAGCTTCCGGCACCAAGCAGTGTCCACGCCACAGCACTATTTCACTCATTAATTCATGCAGCTTTCTGGACACACCTGACGCGCACACACTGTCCTTCCTCCCGACCCCGGTGCTGAGCCCTTTCCTGATGAAGGCTGCTTGCCCCTGCCACCCGCTTCGCTCTTAGCTGAGGCTACCCCAGGCCCTCTCTCTCTTAGGCCTCCACCCCTGACTTCTTGCCTCGGCATTGCATTCTTCGTTGCCTGGTTATGACCAGCTTTCCTGCCATCTCTCCGACCTGGTGGTGGGCGTCTCGAAGTCAGGGGCTACCCCAGTGCCCATAGCTTACCAGGCCCTCAGCCAATGTTTGATGCGTCAATCTAAGCTAAAAAAATAAATAAATAAATAATCACATGGACCCAAAGAATGGAACAAAATGAATGAGACAAGTAGTTGTAAGTAATGACAAAGAATTCTCCAGGTCTCAATATGCACACACTTAGAAACTTCTGGATGGAAGTATGAAGTAGAGAAGAGAAACTCAGTCCTCTTGTCCATCTGCACCCAAACCCAGCATGACCCACCCTGGCAAACATGTAACACATAACACGGTTTCAACTCCTCTCCCTCGAAATGCTTTTTATTTGTTGCTCCTCTGTTTTGGAATTTGAGAATTCCTCTTCATGATACTTTCTCCCTTAAAAAGAAAAACTCAGTTATATATCCAGGGTTAGGCATAATTTCCCAATGCTTAATCCTGAAGTTTTTACCTGGGCATGCATATCAGAATAAACTCGATTAAAAGACAAATCTACAGCCACTTCTCCATTCATCTCTAGGGACGAAGCCTAAAGGGTGAATATATTAATATTTTTTAAACTCACACAGGAGCTCTGATGTGTAGCACTAGTTTAAGAAGCAATGGTTTAATTCCACAAAAACCTTCATTCTAAATCTGCCCTCTGGTGGATGAGTTTTCCCTGCTATGCTTCCTGCTTGCCTGGGCCAATTCAGGATTTCCATCCCATCCCACTTTTCCTGGGCTGTTCTCTGCTAAGATGTGACCTGTTGTTCCAATTTTCTCCAACTCAATTTCTCCAAGTGCCGTGACAGCTGGAACATGTTCCAGACCGAGTTGTCTTTCCCAGGTGGACACAATGGCAAACAGCCACGCTCCCCATTCTGCTGGGGGGGGGGCAGCCTTTGTGTGGATTTTCCATGCCTGATTTCCAAGTAGCTTTGTGGCAGCAACAAAAACACTGCACGGAGATGACACCTGTTGTGCTTACTTGCTGATGCGTTCTATATGTGTATGTGTTTAAATAAGACCGCGTGGGCATGAAAAGTATAATTAATCCAAGTTATTCGTTTGACCGCTTTAAGGGCACGTATTGTTGTAAGTGCTGTAGAATAAAATAATTTTATTTTTTGTTTTTTTATTTTTTTATTTTTTTATTTATTTTTTTTTTTGGCAGCTGAAGACTTGGTAGAAAGTGAGAAAGAATAAAATAATTTTAGAACATGAAATTCACACTCCTCCCTTATATCATTTGGAAAGGACACAAAACATCTCGCCTTTGCTCCTAAGAGGCAGTTATTAGCTCTGCTAAATGAAAAATCTAGAGGTTCTTTTCTTCAGGTATGGCTTGATCCAGGAGCTCAAACTCAACACGTGCCGCACCCTGCTGCTTTTATATCTACAGTGTCAAAATGAGGCCCGCGGCGCCCCCACGGCCCTCCTCATGTATGGCAGCCAAATGGCCACAGCACTTCCATACACGACCTCCTAACACCCCTCCATCCCCACGAAAGACAAGCATCTCTTCCTGCAGCACCTGCACGAGACAGGGACATCTTTGCTTTCCCAGAGACCCCAAGACACGCCCCTCCCCCCACCTCTAGGCTCATTTTTCTCCAATCACGTTACAGTCCTGATCCTCGACCAATCATTGTGTCTAGGGGACTGTGTGGCACTCTCATTGGCCACGCCTGGTCACGTGGTCGCTCCTGCCGCAGGTGGAGTGGGAACAGCTGCGCCCCAGCCAGGTGGGCTGACAGTGGGCTTGGGGTTGGTTCCTGCGAAGGAGGCCAGAGTCCCGTCGTCACCAGGAGAAGGGAGAACAGGTGGCGGGCAGATGGCAAGGCCTGACGTCCGCTGGGCCCGGGAGGCATGATGGGGTCAGGATGCGAGTGGATAGAAAGCGGCGGCGGGGGCGGGAGATGGGCAGACGGAAGCAATGGGGACGTGTACACGGCTGCCCTCCAGGGTGGATGCAGGCCCGGGTCACTGGGCGGCAGCACAACATAACGGTCTACACCGCCCGGGGGCTCAGGGAGCCGTGCTCTGCCCCTTGCCAGGTGGTACCTAACCTCTCTGTGCTTTCACTGCCTCGCTTGTAAAATGAGAGCGCCTGGGCGGTAAAGGCTGCGCCTCGAAAACAACACGCAGAGCGAGAGGAGCCAGTCACGGAGAACCACATGCTGCATGATTCCGTGTGCGTGACATGCCCAGAATAGGCCAGTCTGGAGAGGCAGAAAGAGAGGTGACTTCCTAGGGCTGGGGCGCAGGGGCCAGGGAGGGTAATCACATGTCAAGTGCCTGGAACAATGCCTGGCGCGCCCCCTGCGCCTGTCCCCGCAGGCCCAGAGGTCCTGGCAGCTTCTTACAATGGCAGGTCCTTGGGGGCTTCACCACCCTTCAACCGCAAGCTCCCCTCAGCCTGCCCTCACCTTTCTGACTAGTCCCGTCACTAAATTCCCTTAAATTATCCTCTTTGGCACGTGCCTCTCTCCCCTGCCAGGACCCCGACTGTATAGAAATCCACTCTCCAGAAGCAGAGCAGATCTTGTAGACTAGTTGGAAAGGACTTGTGGTGATTCATTTTGTGTGTCACCTTGACTGGGCCACAGGTTGGCCAGGCACTGGGTCGACATTATTCTGGGTGTGTCCCAGGTGTTTCTGGGTGAGGTTAACTTAGGTCTCTAGACTGGGTAAGCAGATTGCCCTTCGCAGTGTGGCGGCCCCGTCCGATCAGTTGAAGGCCTGAGTGAAACCGGAAGGGGGAGAAGGAGGGAACTCCTGCTGCCTGACCGGGTGAGCTGGGACATTGGTCCTCTCTGGCCTTCACACTTGAACTGAAATACTGGCTTGTCTTGGGTCTCAAGCCACTGGCTTTCAGACGGGAACTACACTGTCAGCTCTCGGGCCCCCAGCTCGCTGACCACAGGTCCTGGGACTTCTCAGCTTCCATAGTTGCAGGAGCCAGATCCTTATAATAAACCTCTCCCTCTGGTTCTGTGTCCCTGGAGAGCCCTAATACAGGCCCTAAAGGAAAGGTGAGTCAGTGGGGAGTTTCAGACCGAATGCAGGAAAATCATCCAAAATAAGGATGTCAAGGGAAGTGACTGGTTTTAGGGGAAGAAGATGTTTTTCATTCACAAACATTTATTTAGCTTCTGCCCTATGCCAGATGCAGTTCCAGCCACTGGGGATTCAAAAACCCACCCAGCTGCCTAAACCAGAGGCCAAACTTCACCCCTGGCTCTTTCTTCGGCCTCATCTCTACATAGGATTCATCTTAAAACCTGTCAGTTTGCCTCCTCGCACTGCTTTCAAATCCATTTCCTTGGCAGGTAGAGAGGGCTTTGAGGGATAATCCTCAGTTCATTGGAATCGTTGTCCCCTCACCCTTTCACATCCATAACAGTTCGTGATGATTTCATTTATGGGTCAGAGGACCACGGACATATTTGAAGTATTTGTTGATTTATGGTATGTGAAATTAGGTGCCATTTTTCTATAAAATGCCATCACTCCACCTGGGCAACATAGCAAGACCCCATCTCTA